ATGGGAGTAAAACTGCCCAAAATCTTAAAATTGACTAGTAAATAATACAAACAAAATGTACCTTTAGGGTCTTGTCTAAAATGTACTTTTTAAAAAAGTTTTATATTTTATGTAAGCACCATGACATCAAGTCAAATTCCTCGTACGTGTGAACCTACCTGGCAATAAACCCGTTTCTGATTCTTAAATCAAATTTGTATTGATGATCAGGTGGCCGTTCTGGAGGCAGAGATTGGCCAAGAGCGCCCCCTCGTGTTTATTGGTGCAATCAACAATTAGTAACCTTTAATAGATATGCAAAATATGTCTAAGAATCTTGCACTGTGTCATATTACTCTGTCTGTTCTGTTTTTGTCATCTAACAAAACTGAAAACATTTCAATGTGTTCATGCCCTCAAATATTTTCAGCTAAAAAAAAAATGGTGGTTTCACATAGAATCCATTCCTTTTTCACCATATACAAAATAATTTACACTGACAATCATACTTTCTTTACAAATGAGGTCATTTATTTCAAACTAATTCAGAACACAAACAAATGATATAGAAACAGTACAATTGATCAGGAACACACTATTTCCAACGAATCTCAAATAGGCAAGATATCTTGAAAAAAGGGATTTGATTTTGTCATCATTACCACCTTAAGAGTGATCAGACTCCATGCACATATTTAACACCTCAGCAAATAGTATTTATTAACAGAATCTAATGAGGTAGCATCTTTTTATAAAAATTCAGCCATTCAAGATGTTCACGAAAATGTTCTTCCAGCCTTCATAATGAATCGAGGTGAAAGCAAATTATATTAAGGATATACTCAAACAAAACATTGAGCTACATTATATCAACAAACCTTTGAAGAAATCTAAAGAATTTCACTTATTATTTTAGAGGAAATGAAGGAGGCATTTGAACCAGATTTTTTCCTTTTTATAACATTGGACAAACACAAAAAGGTATCACTTTCAGAATTCACAATACTGGAGAGGATTTGCTTGAGGTGTGTCCTTTACATCTGCAACACAGACATTTGACATATAAAGTGCATCCCTTAAAAAATAAACAAACACAATGCCGTTTTTTAAGTTATATGTGGATCTAAGTTTCATCTGAGCACTGTATGGTTGTTTTCATAATTTAAAAAAGACAGGTTAGTCAAAAATGATTGGTCTAATGATACTTCAACTGTTGCTAAGTATCATGGGGGCTGTAGTTGAGCATTGCAGACAAATACAATTGGGTCAATTGATTAAGAGATTAAGTAGACTGAATAAATATTGATGACCTCACAGAGAAGAAAGGAGTTATTACCTTTTCCTCATCTTTGATTCTTCATACCTTGAAGTTTCTGAACATCTTGGAGTACATGTCTCTCTGTTTGTCCAAGCTTTCTTTATAGCACCTAAAAAAAACACGAAAACCTTGTATACATATCTTATGGAGTGATTTATAGGGTAGCATGGCCATTTTAAACTAAAACATCAAATATGCTATACAATAGTCACATGTGAAGACATTTTTAAAAAGCCAAACCTTTAATGAAAGTATAAGATTTATACGTTTATTTTACCTTGAGACAAATGCAAATTGTGGGTCCTTCTAAACTTACATTGCCACTTTCCTCAGCAGGTTGTTGATGTCAGTGTCAAAGGGTTTCTTTGCCTGAGCGGATATGAGGCAGTGCTGGGCGCTGTCGTACTCGTGCAGCTCCAGATACGCCTGATGGCGATAACAAAAGTTTGAATATCAAATTTAGAGCGAAAACAACTTGCTAACTGGTGAGAACTGTGGCTCAAGGTGCCTAAAATGTGCAAACGTATAGTTAAATCTTAGTGAAAATGTACAAAATGTTCTTTATTCAACTTAATCTTAATACAAGGGGATTGGGAATCTATTGTGTCTGCTTCTGACATCATCCCTATTTTTCAACTCCTCTGTGATCCTTTTACATTCAATATCAGGAGCGTTAAAGACCCCTACGGCTTGTGAGGATTTTTATCTGATGGTTTTGAGAACAAAAAGGCCCCATCTGACCTGTCCGCTGCGGAAAAGAGCCTTTGTGTTGGCGGAGTCTATCTCCAAGGCTTTGTTGCTGTACTTCAGGGCTTTGTGCGGTCTTTCCAGACGGAGCTCAGTGAGGGAGAGGTTCAGATAGAGAGGAAGAAGTGCTTTCTTGATTTTCTCCTTCTCTTCATCGCTCTGTGTTTTCCTGTTCCCAAGCAGCGTTGTCCCCTGTTGACAGAAAACACAGAATACCTTACAAAATCTTACTTTAACAAATATACAAAAACAAAGGCAATGACTTAATAGATGTACCTGTTTATAGCGGTCTTTGGCGTTGAAATGGCGACTCTGGTTGAAGCAACGGTTGCCAAAGCTGCGTACTGTGTTGACAACCTCGAGGAGCATAGACAGAGGAACCGTGTTCTGCTCCTCCTGGAGACAAAAGTGAAAGGAAAAGTAGCCAATAATACAAACAGAACATCTACAAAGCATTATTTTCTCTTATTCTGCATTGTGAAAAGAACAGTGGCTGATATTGAAAAGGATACATTTCAGGGTGCTGATCAGGTGCTGATACATACATTAGTCAACTGAAATATAAAGAAATATTCTCTTGTATGACATAAGCACAGTGGCTTGAAAATGTCTTGTGGGATTTTTGACCTTGCAACAACAAGACACCAGAAGTTTTCCTACCAGGCTCATTGCGATGAAGTCATCCACTTGTCCCGAGTCGAGAAAGTCGAGGATATGAACCTCATACAGAACCACTGCAGCAGCAGGGATGAGCGGAGGACAGCCCATTTCCCCGTAGGCGTACTTAGGCTGGAGGAGAAATCGAGAAAACTCTCCTTTCCTCATGGTCATCAGACCCAGCTCCAGTCCCGCCAGCGTCACATCTGTTTAAGATCATTTCAGAAATGATTATTCTTTGTTTTATTAAGGAGAACTCTATTGAACCTGCACAAAAATCACTGACCTTTTCCTAACTTCATCATCCGGGGGTACTTGAGGTTTGTGGTGGTTTCAAAAGGCTGGTCAGAATATTCCAGGAAACCAGAGTAATGGGCTGTGGAAGAAGTAGAGTTTGCGGCAGGGTGAAATAATTCAGCAAATTGTGCCAGAAATGATATAACAAATTTGTGTTTGTACCTATTACTGAAGCATTTTCAGGAACAGGAGGGCCATCTCCAGGTTGGATCACCTCTTTCAGGACGCCTTGATCTCCCAAGACATCACTCATCCGCTGGCGAAGCTGCTCAAACGGACTCTACAAATGGCAAGCAAAGCCCTGAAATATCTCAACACTGTAACAATTTCATCTGTGTGTGAAATCACTGTTAAGAATAACATGAGCTAAAGTGTATATCTTTTTTTAAGCTTGTATGCAACTGTGCTACAATTCAGAAGGAAACTTAGCTTCTGAGTATCTGCACTAGAACTACACAAATATATAATATAATATAAAGTATACATGTAGTATTTTACTTTGCAGTATTCAACTGGTACACAACATGTATAATTGCATGCACTTGTCCATTTAAAATTAGGCCTATTTTGCATCCATGACATGTAGAAAGGAAACATCCACAATTGTAAAAGTTAGCAAAAGATAATGCATTGTTTCATGGAGTTTCATGATAATTTTTGTGTGTGAATTATTTTATTCCCCTATTCACCTGTGAGTGTCCCCCAATCACACGTCAGCCTCTTTTAAAGTAATCGTGAACCGTTTCAACAAAAACTATAATATTTTTGTATTAACTTTAGGAAAGACTGATGCTTATCAAACTCAAGATAAAGACCCATACGTAAAATACCGGGCGGCAGTAATGTGAATTTTAAACGTCAGTGTGTTTTCTACATGAACATGTGGCTCTCACTGACATGGACAGCTAGTTGGCTAACGCTAGCCATGCTAACCAACGCTAGCCGTGCTAAGCCTCCTCAACGTGATAACTTACCGTGGAGTGTGTCCTCCTTAGCCGCTCTTCAACGCTTATTAACCTCCGGATACTGGGCACTAACCCGTTTTGTCCTGACATTCAGTCGGTTGGTGGGTTACGCTAACAGAGCTAGCTTTATTTAGTAGATAAAAGGTGGCTTTATTGAGGGTAAATTGGGGCACCGGCGGAAGGCGGGGTTTGACTTTGATAACAAACGAGACTCAACAATTAGTGGGCAGCACAGAGGGCCAACAACTGTCACTGCTTCCCTCTATTCCACCAGCTTGTAATGCAAGATACAAATATGCCATTTAAATGTAGGGTATGTAAGTTTGAGAAACCGGCTCGAGATACACTTTTTGTTATATTCCATGGAATGCTCACGATAGCAATGAATATCTTAAGTGCTTTGACAAATAATCCATAAATCATCTGTGGAAGCCGTAGTACTGTAAAAAGCACGACCAATCATTTTAGCCGGCCCGTCTAAAATAACTGGATGGCCTACCTGCCTGTCAGCCTTCCATCTGGTGCACAACTTTATCTCGTGCCCCCATTGGTCATGTGCGCGTTCGTGTGTGTTGGAGGAGGGGCTCTACTGTATAAGGAAGTGGCAGATTTTCTCCGGTCGTGTATTTTCAAATTCTAGCGATCTCGAGCCGGTTTCTCAAATGTACATACCCTACCTTTAAAATAAAGTATGATGCTTCAAAAAATTACAGTTTAAGGTATTTTCTTCACAATTCACATTCATAATATCCAGATAACAGACATATTATGGATTATGGGCAAGAGGGGTTTGTACAACATTTGTTATGAATCAATCTGCAAGATTGATTTATTATATGAATCAATGTGCAGCACAATAATCTGCTACATATTCTCCAAATATTTCCCAGTTGTATATTTGAGCATTTTCAAAATATGTCGTGCAGAGCTATGGATACTTTTTACCAAGGCAAGGACCACCTTGGCCAGGGCTCTTCTAGTTTTCTTTATTTATACAGACACAAACACACACAAATCATGTTGCTTAAAGTATTTAATGTAAATCCAATGTTATGTAGTATACAATCATCATTTCAATACAGGTAATACTTTTTATTATCAGCATAAAACACTATAAACCTACACTCAAAAAATCTGGCATATGACACATGAATATAACACAAAAATGAAAACTGCTAAATTAACTAAGTCATTCGATTTTTTTGTACCTTGGTCATATTTTTTACAGAATGCTACAGGTGTCATTTCTTATGATAATATTATAGTAGGAGGTATGTAAAGAAACAATACAAAACAATATTTAAACTGTACAGAATATGCTTTAGAAAACAGACAAAGTTGGGCCATTTGTACAAGGAGGGATGTGACTATTGGCTATAAACAAAGTTATTTAGCAGAGAAAGAGATATGTTATTTGTGGTTGCTTTATATTCTCGATAGATATACCGTAGTTGCTCTTGCTAATGTTAACATAAACATAGCACAAATCTTTGATCAGTTTACCCACTGGAATGTATCAGGAGCTGAGATTAAGCAGTAAGCCATTTAAAAGCTTTCCTCATTGTGTTCATTAGAAGTTCTGCAGTTCAGCTGGGTAGACAAAGTTGCTCCTGAAGAGTTTATAGGCTGTGAACTGTCCTGCAAATATCATCATCACCAGGCCTGAACCTGCACGAAGAGGGATTACATAAATTAGAAAAAGAGATCAATCAGAGGTAGCTATGGCGGCCAGCAGCTGTCCTTAAAAAGCCTGAATCTGAACAGGAAAAAGTATTCGAGAGGAAAAAGAAGAAGAAGAAAGTGGTAACCTTACCCAGAGCTATCCACCAGTGCTCAGCCGAAGGGAAGTCTGACATCACTGCGGGAACATAGAAACGACGTGTTAAATGTAAAAAAACATACTACACATTATCCTTATAGCTACAGGTGAAAAAATGATACAAGTTCAGCTATTTTTGCTAAATCAATATTCTGCTAGATATCTTTCAATGTTGGCTAAATAGCTCTCAGAAATATATGCTGTGACTGTAACTCTTAGACACAAATGGATAGTGCCTGTGTGAGTGCCAATACATTTCTGAAGCACTGACACCATTTCCAGTTACATAACCAGGCCCCCAATCCTATCAGCTGTTTTTTGCTTGTGTGTGTGTGTGTCTTATTACCTGCTACCGTCATCGCGACATGCAGCAGTGTGACAGTTATGGCATAATCCCAAACCCACTCCTCTACAATCCATGCGAATACCAGGCCTCCCAAAATATAGGTCACTTCTGTGGAGATAACACCGACTGCAAGGAGGAAGAGAGAAAACACATGCCGTTTTGAATTTCTAACCTGCTTTAGAATCACCCATTGTTATAGCACAGGTTTTACCAATCAACATTATGCATTAATAATGGCTCTCTTCTTTTTAAAGTTCCCCAGTGAGCCAGCATGAAATATACCAGGACCGATGAATAGTGACACTTTGTCTGGCGCAAGTTAGGTAAGAAGAAAAATGGGATGCAGAGACAGTGACCCACAGCCAAAAGGCATTTCAATTCTTATTAATTTTGGCCCATGGCCCACCTTTAAGTTTTAATTTTGGCTCACTAAGGGAGAAAGTGTATGCATTATCCATATTTAAACCATTAATATCCCTTACAAGCTTTTAGGCCGCTTTTCAATATCTGTAGATACAGTATAATCCTACAGGGAACCTCAGCCTTATATGTAGAAGTAAAAAGTAGTATAACATTTAAATACTAAATAAAGTAGCACCTTTAAAATAGAAGTACTGGAGTGAACCTACATTGCACCAATGCTACTCACCGAGGTATTTGGGGCTCTGCCATGACGGTTGTGTTGTGTAGTCAAAGGGAGCCAATAAGCTGTTGATCTCATGAACCCTGGAGACACAGCAGGAGATGATAAACACATGCAAAATCCACTTTGGTTCTTATTCATTCTGTTTGAAATGTACTTTCTCTTAGGAGCAAAAGGCCAAGGCTTCACTATGTAGTTGCAGTTTGTGTGCGTGTACCTGAGCAGTCCTATGCAGAGACTGACCACGACGTAGTACAGAGAGTAGAAGCACGCCATGCACATCAACAGATTCTGCAGGACGACCTGAGGAGACGGAGAAAGAGGAAATGGGAATAAATAATTCAGATTTGTCCTGTTGGGCTGGGGCTTTCAATATCACATGAAACCGGCTTTGTTTTTTAAAGATTTTCTTTCGGAGGGAGGGTGAGGAACGGATAGTGTCTTTAAGTATCTTTCAATTATTGATATTGAAAAATACTATTTAGTGGTTCTTTCTGCGACCATCTTTACATATTTATATAATATTTCCCGCATTTGACAGCTAAAAAAGCGAGAGCCTTTAATCAATCAATTCAATGTCCTATATCAACCATCCACATATGCTTTCTTCAAATAAACAAGGTAACAACAGAGAAAACAAGACCATAAGAAAATACCTTGACATTATGTCAGGGATTTTAATTTGACAAGAAAGCTCTATATTTGGAGATGTTTACTTTAACATCGTTATTTTGTGCATTCTGTGTCTCCCAAAGCTATACAAATCCCTTTTCCTCTTTCCCTTCATCGCTGATGAGAATACAGTCAGACAGCAGCAGCCTGCCTGCTAAAGCCTAGTTTGATTGATTTATGATTAACTGCAGCCTCTACAGGAAATATGCTACAGGACCTCCTGAGAGGAGAGATAAAAGACCTTTTCCTCCCAGCTGACATTCCTGCTGTCAAACACAGGTGTAAGTGATCAGATTATTAACGATAATCTCTGGCACCTGGTTAATGAAGTGGAGTCATCGTTAATCTGATTAGTTACACCTGTGCCAAAGCAAACAACGATGAAGAGCGCTGATAAGATTAATAACTTTCACTACATTGGAGTAAAGTTGTGTGATTACCCTACGGATTAAACTGTCAGCTACTTTTTATTGAATTATTAATCCTTCAGTCTATAAAATGACCAAAAAAAAGGGAAAGACCAAGGTCCTTTTTCATTTCTTTCCCCTCTCTAAATTGTTCCCATTTCCACACAATGCAACCACTTGTAAAACTCCAATTAAACTCCCGATATTGTCATTTTTTAAACGTTTCATATTTTTGGTATATAAAGGTTTGTTGTACAATTCATTTATTTCATATATATTGTTTATAATATATATATATTGTATATTAAATGTTTTTTACATATATTTTAATACGTTTAAATATTGGCTTTTCTTCCAATGTATAACTGTTACTGTGTTTATTTATGCACCAAAACACAAACCTTCTTGGCAATAAACCAAAATCCAATTCTTATAATGACTGTAATATCCTACAAAATGTTCAAAGCACAAAGATATTCCATTGACAGTATAGCCCTATAAAACAGAAAACAGCTGCATATCCTTGTGCCTTTGTGGATGTATACATATGACATTTATGATATTTATGTTCCAGAAGGTGAATCCTGCCTTCTACTTCCTGGAGAGCTTCATGTCTGCAACAAAAAGCTGCCATTGCTATGTTTCAGTCTGCAGTGTGCTTGGTCCGGAGCGTGAGACAGTAACAAGCTCAACAAGCACAGGGGATCATTCTTATATCTATTAGTGGACATCTAATTTATGGGGCTACAGTGCGTTAAAGGTGAGGTGAATCTAATCCAACACCAATGCAGCCAATATGTTTTCACCGTCTGCAGGCTATACACTATTCCAGCATGAACGTATAAAAAGAAATAATAATAATAATAATAATAATAATAGCTTGGATTTATATAGCGCCTTTCATGGGACCCAAGGTCGCTTAACAAAGAAGAATAGGGCAGAAACAAACATAACAAAACAAAAGGCAGTCAGACAACCAGTCAGACAGACAAAACAACAGATAGATTTAGGGGGAATGGAGTGGGAGGGTCAATCTGGAGGGATTATTTGTGAGGTGTTGAGTTCGCATATCCACAATATGTCTCTCTAATTGCAGACTCCACTTTTAACTGTGTAAGGTTCATCCTCCTCTTTGCTTCCCCCTAATTTACTCCATGTTACCTCCATATTAAAAATGAGCAGCAGTGAGAAGTGGAATGGGATAAAACAGCATGCAAATGTATTAGGATAGTGAGTATCGTGACACTGTAAGAGTGATTTAACCGTGGCCCACATTTCATTTTCTGACCCACCTAAACCAGGTCAGAAAAGTAGCTGAGCTCATGCTAATTCCCTCAGAGACAGCTAAACATAGCCCCGGTTTGTTTTTCAGCTCCAGACTAGACTGATCTCCAGACCAAACTGACTTTTGGTTGATTACACATTAGCATGCTTAAAATAGGTAAACAGCAGTCTAATGACATTAAAACATATAATAATCAGATTTTTTAAATTATAACTAATGATAAAATAACAGTGAAAAAAGCTGGGATATAACTGTAAATGATGAAAAAAGCAGTTGATTATGAGCACCAACTTTCGCTTAAAAGGCATAATGTAAACACCTCACTGTGCACCGAGCCAGCTAACACGCACTCCTTAATCCTCGCTATCCTAACACACTCTCCCACATCATACAATGTCCTTACCCAGGTATCACTGGGTGTGGTCTTGAGGGAGAGGGGTCCATGGCGTTTGATGAGTGTGAATCCAAAACAACGACAGCAGTAGTCCAACAACATGAATGGCTGCTGCTCTACATGAGAGCATGAAGGCTACATGTGTGTGTTTGTGTGTGTGTGAGGAAGCATGTTATGGAGGAGGAGGGAGGATTAGAAGAAATGGGATTACTACTAAGAAGAGAACTAAGAGTAAATCCTAAATAGGGATAAAGGTGAACATACTCCAGTATATATCCAGTATATCCAAGTGGCACATTTACATAAAAGCCCAAAGAAGGAAGTTGAATTTGAAGTTAAATACATAAAGGAAGTGCTATAGACACAGATTTATAATTGGATTATGGTATTAGTAAATGTATTTACCTGTGTTTGTACATACCTTTAGGTAGCTTCCTCATCCCTCCATTATGTTCTGCTGGCTCCTTATTTCACTTTCCTTACTTCCTGTTTTTCTACAATCCTCTTTTGTTCTTCTTCAGTTTTCCTCTAAGTTCATCAAGTTTCCTTCCTTCATTTGTATTGCTACTCCTTACAAAACAAGTATGAAGAAGAATACATTCTGATACAAAAATAAACCATTTCAATATGTCACTTGGACTTTGGGAAATGTCTATTTTCTATTTTCCATCACCTTCCAATCAAAACAAGTATTGATAATGTTGATAATTGTTAGTTTCAACCACATCACGAGTACATTTTCCCCATTGAAATCAACTGACTGAGCTCGAGATAGCAACACTGACAACATACCCCGCCCTATAACATGACCGTTATCTTTTCATTTTAAATACTTTTTCTTCACCAATGTTTACCTGTGAGTCGTCCTGGATGTCCAGCTTTGGAAAGATCTGCAAAAAAACATCATGAGACGAAATTAGTGTAGTCTGGTAGTTTTTAGTATCAACACTAGATGGCAGCATAGCCTCAAATGCACAGGGAGAACTTTATCCACCAATGAAGAGGCAACACCAGAACAAGCAATGATTAAAGCACAGCACGCAATGATTAACGCACAGCACTAGCAGATACAAACAAGATACTTCCTTGTTATTCAAATTGATTCAAAAGATGTATTTATCATATGCATAAAAAGCTACAGCGTAGTTGTTGACAATTCAATCTTAAGATCTTGCAACAATGCAACACACAATACTGTATACGTAACATAAAAAGAGAAAGACAAAAAAAGTGCAATAAAATAGTGCAACAAAAACCCAATGGTGCAAAGAAGTTGCAGGAAAAGGAAGATGTACACATATTTAATATTACAAGACAAACAGCAACAGTAGAATAAATACTGTATACTGTGGTAAAACCTACATTTTTCAAAACGTTTTCATTTGAATTTGAACACACACTATAGATCATCATTATAATACAGATAACAGAGAAAAAAGGGAGAAAGGACCACTGGCTGTGGCGATGGACAGAGTAATGCAGGAGGACGCAGAAATGACGACAGTTCAACATCCTCAGCAATAACCCGAGAAGAAAACTCTTCAGCGTCACCGCCTGCGTAAGTCTGTGTGTTTGTGGTAAAGCACATGCGCATGGGCCTTTGAGTAAGAATGGGGTTGACTTGGCTGCCACGGTAACCTGCATCATTGTAACCATAGTGATGGAGAGCAGAGGGGGTAGGGAGGGGGGCGCATGTAAAGCAAGGTAGGCGTCATACCTATTCATCCCTGTGTGTGTGTGTGTGTGTGTGTGTGTGTGTGTGTGTGTGTGTGTGTGTGTGTGTGTGTGTGTGGTACACTTTATTACTGTAAGGCTCACAGAAAACTAATCGTGCAGATTTGTTTTTTTATATTAATAGATGTTTGTTCTGACTCAAAAATAGGACTGATATAATTGCATGTATGATTCATTTGTATTTTTTACTAAAAGTCTTTAATTATCCTGCAATGTGTTGCACTTGTTTAGCTCTACAGTGTTGTTCCTTGCTCTGTGGAAGTGCTGTGATGAAGACATACAATCACAAATCAGCTTCATCAGCTGGGATTAAAGGAATTGTTTAAAATGTGTTCTCATAAAAGGGGACACGTGCTCATTTTCAGGTTCATACTTGTATTTTTTGCCTCTACTGTGACTGTTTACATGATTTAATGTTCAAAAAGCTCTTTATTTGTCTGCCTGTGCTGCAGCACCTCTTTTCACCCTCTGTCTGAAACCAGAGCCCGGTCTGCTCTGATTGGTTAGCTGGCTGGCTCTGTTGTGATTGGTCAACCGCTTAGAGATGATGCACAAAAACCTATATAACAAACTACAGGAAAGGGAAACCCCCAAAAAGCATAATTTAAATAAGGATAAAAACAGTTTCCCCAAAATGACTAACATTCCAGAGGATGTTTGCCTTTAAATGTGAAGTTCAGATCAGCGATCCAAAAATGTGATAGTTTAAAACGCACATTATCACCTAAATCCTTAAAGCCTTTCCCCAGCCCAATACAGAGGGAAGCAGGGACGTGCACAGACATTTTGGGGGGCGGGTGCTCAAGTGAGAAAAAGGGCACTTCCCATAATCATTTATAAAAAAAAAATTTAAAACAAAAAGTTAATTATAGTTGCACATCTCTGACTTACTGACCAATTTATTTTAATACCCTCACACTCACGCAATTGTTTAACACTCAACAGAATTCTACAAAATAATCAGCTAACACAGAGACAATGGTCTTCTTTAGTATTCACAATGCACAAGAGCAGACAACAAACTAGTAAAATTAATACTGTAGTTATTAAATGAGCAGCCAACAATCACAATTATGAAGTTACTGTTTAAGGACATTACAGGCAAAAAGATCGTTTTTTCATGTACTTGTTATTTTGGTCTATTTTGCTTCCATGTTTTCTTTCACTCTAATGGAAATAAAACTTCCAAGAAACACATAAATAGTGTTCGTTTTACTACCATGTCTGAATTCATCTATAGATTTAAAGCTAATCTGCATATTTAAACATATCCATTTCAGGGGAAAATACTGACTTGACGTAGGTAACTATCTGGGGAAGTTGTGAGGTGATGTGTTTTTTTGTTTTATCCTTTTCACCTGCAATGTCTTGGTAACTGCATGCAAATTAGCGCATTTTAATTAGGCCTAGTTAACGCCTAATTTGCATATCAATGTGGAGATTGTGATGACGTTAAGAGATACACATTTTACTGTATTCACTTTAAGTGTCTCCCCTTAAGTACAGTACATTAGCCTGTATGCCCATGATAAATTGTCTTAGCTAAACCTTGAGCTAACTTATCCATTAGCTAGTAGCCTACCTTAGTTAACTATATTTGTTTTTGTCTTTTAGCTAATTAGCTGTAAACTCGAGGCACTGGCAGTTTAGTAATTTGTTCATCACCACTCACCTTCAAAATAAGCCAAGAAAAGCCGGCATAACATGGGAAAGTAAAGTGGGAGGTGCTGCTACCTGTCGTCTGAAGGGACTGCCGATGACTGTCCGCACCCAACCCTGTCAGGAGACGTGGAGGGAGGGAGGGAGGGAGAGCTACGGAACTTCACAGTCTAATTTCCCGACCTGATATTTTAATTTTGTATTCAATCAATATATTTTTGGAAAGGGAAACTGTGCGCAAACAGCAGTAGATATATATTCATTTATAAAAAAATTAAAAAGGGGAAAAAAAGGGCACTTTCTCTGGAGGAAGAAAAAGGGCAGGGGCTCAAGCCCACTTTGATGTGTGCACGTGCCTGGAGGGAAGTGGTTAGATACAGAACAGTGGCACGTTTAAAGGCAATGTAGAAGGATTTCAAGGCACTTGTGAATTATTAAACCCATACTAAACCTCAAACAGGCCTTTTGTTAAAGGGGCACAGTGACGATAAAACAAACTGTTACTCTGGTAGCGTGTTTTTATACAGCAAATGAAACATTTAGATATATATCAAGCATGAGGAGTTATGGAAAATGGCACTACCAGAGACATTTTAACAGCATGCTCCTGGGCTAGAGGGAGTGTTTACACCCCATGAGTGAGTTTAAACAATATGTGTCGTATCCACAGCAGCAGGGAAACCAACACAATGTTTGCACGCTCTTCTCCTGATCTGTTTTTGAATTATTTTGAAAATCTATTGGACACACATTATGCTCATGGGAACACTGAGGCTCATTGATCTACATGTCAACATGTGTGTCTAATGGACAATCCATCAGTCAGTCTGTGTGTGTGTGCAGGGAACAAATATTGACGTCACACAAACGCACAGTTTGATGCATCATAATACACAGCGTTCACTAGGAGGAAAGGGAGGCTGGTTTGCTTGACAACTTGGAGAAAGAAAAAGAAAGACAGAAAGAAAGATAGGAAATAAATAATTTAGAAAAAGACAAAAATGTTTGCCTCGCTGCTGTATGCCATGTAGTCAAAACATAGTTATTTATCCAATTAGAGATTGTATCTAAGTGTCCTTATAAGCAATCAATTATTGAGGTGGCAAAAAACTTCAATGTTTTGTGAGGTCACATTGACCTTGACCTTTCACCCCCAAAATACTTGAGTCCAAGTGAACAGAATTCAATCCTTTAAAGCAATCATAAGATATCTCTTTCACGAGAATGGGACGGATGTACCTAAAAACATGGGGGTGGCATAAAAAGTAATTTATGATGAAGACATCCCCTTGTGTTTTGTGGTTGTGTGATGGACATGTACAAATAAACACAGCTTTTGTCTGACAATTTTAAGAACAAATGATGAATGAGGGAAGATGAAAAATAGAGCGTTTTGCGGAGCCAATCCAATTCTCTATTTGTCCCACCTTCTTACAAGTAATTTACCAATCACTGAGCCTGAAATAGCCATTACATGTTTCTGTTGGCTTTCACAAGCCTCACTCACTGTCAATCATACTTTGATCCATTGAAATATTCTCATAAAAATTATATAAATGTTCAAAATAAATGTTCAAAAAGCAGATTCCACTTCCTACATCCTCCCTTTGCCTGGTCTAATCCCCATCCCCCCATTTCCTGTCCTCCTTAACTTTCCAAAGAATCAAATGTTCCTTTAATTATCGAGCTACAATAAGTATGGGCCAACTCAAAAAGTAAACTCTGTAAATCCCATA